TGCGCTCACATTCACAAACCGAGCATGGAGGCTCAACCCCTCACAACCTCCAGCAAATCCCCTTTATCTTTTCCCAGCCAGATGGGGCCGCTGGAATAATAGCTGAAGCCCAATGAGTTCCATTCAATTTGTCATGCCGTCTAAAGGAGCTTGTAAGCTTCCCATTTGCAGTTATGTTATAGTAACCATGGGAGGCACTGCAGTGTTAGGACTTAATTACCTCCTAATAGCTGTTGTAGAGATAAAGCCCCTGGCCAGCAGAACCCAATCCGTCCAGCCCCTGAGACAAGCACATCTGATGACTCTGGAGGCGGCCGAGATCCACACGTTCTCTCACCTTAGACGTCCTGCACCTAAATGTGTTGGTGACCTCCTGCCCTCACATGGCCTTGTAGACGGAACGCTTATCACTTGCACGCTGGAGAGTTTCGCAGTGAGATGCAAGTTTTTAAAATGTGGCTAAACATGTTCATACTTTTAGGAAAGGTTTGCCAACCTTTTAGGAAAGTACTGCCAGTTGGTCTGAAGACCCTTTCTGCGGTCAGATATGCCGAGATGTTTTTTTTTCCCCTATCTTGTCCCGTATGCCGAAGTGTAGAAAAGTGTGTTGCGTGGGTCTAAGCATGAAGAAACGAAGAACATTTTGTGGAGCGTAAAGTCGTGGGATATCTTTAAAATATTCACGTTGAATCTCTTCACTAATGTGAAGTTTTAGAGAATGCTTGAATCAATGGTGGGAAATTCACATTGTTTGGCTGGGTCATGACATACCAATTATTTTCATATAATTTGTTTTTGAGATTGACTCCTCATCTCTGAATAAAGTTCAAATCCTGTATGAGTTTCCCCAGATGTTGCATTAATGGGCATGTCGAGTAGTCTCCTGCATATTGCGGTAAATGTTTCCATATTGTTGTACGATCATATTTAAGGTTATTGTTAAGTTATTGCTGGTTTAGGCCAGTAACCTCCTATAATGACAATTCGCCAAATCTTGCGTTTTTACTTAAAGTACCGTAACTAAAATTCTGTTGCAGCGTTCGGTTTCCCACCACAAATACCAACACTCTCTATACGGTCACCACTTCGAAAACTTTGGAACCACCTCTCTATACAGTTTGTTTATGCTTGGAGCATATTTATGTCACGTAATGCTGAGGCTCTGTGTTGATTGTTTTAATGTTTCTGTTCAGTTAGCACACTGGTTTGCATTTTATAGTGTGCTGTCGGTCGTGTAAATTGTTCCCATTTGACAGTCGTGTTTTTATCCCACTGGGTCTCTGGATACTGTCACTTGTATTGCTGGTAAATCTCTGCAAAGCACTCTCAGAAACGACAGCTTTAGGAATGACACTTGTGTTAAACGGATATATTGCAGTTTTATTGCCTCAATTAGGCTAATGCACACCTCCCGAAAAGTGCACCTGCTCATGAACAGGTCGTCACGCAGAAGCAAACGATGTTTCAATACGATAAATAAAGCTGGATTAAAACGCTCATATGAACTAAAATCTAATAAAGAAATTCGTTTTTTTTTTCTTTTGATATTTTGCAAACAAAAACATCTTGTCAGCCATATAATTTTTTTCACACTAGCCTATAAGTAGGTAACTCATTTTTCTTATTTTTTTTTCTTTAATGCACTTTTGAGGACTTAAAGTCAAAATTTCTGAAATGTTTTGATTTACCACCTTTTACAGAAAAAAAATACACAGACATTCTAAAGATGGAAATTCTAGCAATATCTTTAAATTACGTTTAATTTAGCTAAAAAAAATTTGAATATTAAGTTGCTCTCATGGATCCCACGATTAATATTCAGACTTTTCGCTCCTCTTCCTCTGGTGGCTCTTTACGTTACATGTACAGTTGGAGTGCTGCTTGTGAATTTCGGAGGAAGACAAAGTGCCCCAACAAAAACAACAGCAACAGTAGTGTTCGTGGAAGGCGGCGTCTCACGTTCTTCACTGCAGCGCTTTGACAAAAGCAAGAATTTTGCTTCATTTCGTTCCAAGATCTTGCACAGAAAAGGACCAGGGGGGGACTGCCAGGACGTTATTCATGTCTTTCAGTTCATTTGGCTCAACTGGTCAGCTTTCCAGACAGAAAAAGAAACCTTCCCTCATGTTTTTACACCCTCCTCTTCTTCTTCTTCTTTTTTTTTTGTTTTTTTTTTTTGCTTTTTTTTGTTCCCTTTCTTTTTTTTATTCTGGAAGAAGATTAGCAGGATTAAGTATGGCTCACATATGCTCCTCCTCACTTCTGGTATTCACCACTTCTTCGGGCTCGTTGCCACCCAGACTGATGGACAGGGAGTGATGACTGAGGTGGCAGCAGTAAGAAAAGAGTCAAAGGTGAAGGAAAACAGGAAATAAAAAAATGTCAAGTTCAAATTGTTTTCTTTACCTTAGCTTTAAGGTTAGCTTGGATTGGAACTTCCAAACCTGAAGCAAAAGTCCGGAGAGGGTTATGCTCTGCTTCGACATGTTAATTATTCTTTCTGAAGTAATATTTGTACTTAAACATGTTACACACTTTGTTTAAGCTGCAACACGTCAGACCAAGGTATAAGTGAGCCAAGCTGCTGCTGCTTAGCACCTAGAGGCCAGCAGGGGGCTCCCAAGAACTTCTTGCACAGAAAACAAATACAGTTTCACATTTGCGCTTATGTTTGTAAAGAGTGAGACTATTTTTAGTTTGCTTGAAAGCTTAATGAACAGAACTTTTTTTGTTGTTGTTTTTTGCTTTTTATTCTTCCAAATTTGACCTTTGAATGTATTAAGGATTTTTTAAAATTGTGACTAAACAGAGTAAAATATGCACAGGTTAATGTAAATATTCCTTGTGCATCATTTGTCACATGTGACTAAGTCCCTTTTCATGCACGATTCAAATTAATCAATCAATAAATTTGCCCTCTCCTCTCCTCCTGACTGTGGGGAGCAATTGCTGCTTTCTGGTTCAGACTGCATGATGAAATGAGTGAGTCAGGAAACTAACCTTGGCTTCACCATGTTTTATTTGATAAAATATGTGGGGTGAACAGTTTGAAGTCCAACCAAAAGCCAGTCTGTGATAAACTGAATTTATGAGCATCAATTATTTTTTTAAAGTGATTTCACACAAATGTAATCTATTTTCCACTATCTGAAAATGCTAAATAAAACATAAACTCTTTTCTATCATTTAGAGTAGCCATGATTTATTTACACTTATTTGAAAATGATTACTGTACATCACACAAGTAATTTGGCGACTGCTTATATCGCCTCCTACAGGCCAGTGATGGCTACTGAAACATTTTGAGTTTTATTTGTGTGGAAGAATTAATTTCTACCAAAGATTTTTTTATTTTTATTTTTTCCAGAAAGGTTCTTATTTCATCTGGACAAGCCCTGAACATATTGATGCCGATGTGTAGCTGTCCTCGATCTAATGTAATTTGGAAGCCTATAGCAGCAACATGTGTGGGCAGGGCTCTGAAACTGCCTCATGAAGTTTACATTGGCCACTGTAATGTGATTGCTACAAAAGCTGAGCAAACTAAGGGTGAAAAGTGGCTAAAAAATGACGAAATGTCCCTTTATGGCCTGACAGGGATGGTGGGGGGGGGGAAAGGGAAAGAGATGCAGCTCCACTGTCCACCTGGAAATGCTGACACCTGGAGGGCTAGTTAGGTCACCTTTTACAGCAGCGGTCAGATTAATGGACCGGGTAGCCATAGTAATAAATAAATTAAATACATGTTTGGCGAGTTATCTTCTCAATATAAAATTATAAATTAATATCAACGCATTTTACACTATAAAAAGGGCTAAAAATCCGGTCGTCCTCACTATCTGTTCAGAATTTTCTGTAAATATTATTATAAAATATTGTAAAAAATTCGGATGTTTTTGTCTCAATGAATATATACATTTCAAGTCTGAATTGAAAGGAAAGGGTGTACTATTAAAGCCGACGACCGACTTCAATGCAGACCCCCACATTTTCTATTTATATGTATAGGAGAAGGGTTCTGGAAACATAAACTTGTCGAGGCAATTAGCGCTGATTGCGTCCGACTGCACACAATACCTGTCGCATTTTCGGGACAATGCTGCTGTCAGTTCCAGTTAGCGTGTCTGAGAGCAGAGCACCGGGCCGGGCCCTTATGTCAGAGCCAGGCTGGGCTCCCTCCCTCCCGCACCAGCAGCAGCAGCAGCAGCGGAGGGCCACACTCTGCTGTTTCCCCCCAAAACACAGCGCCACTAATTGAAATCTTGCGGATCATAACGGTTAAAGACAGTTTTGCACACTTCATTAATTAACGTTTAAAGATGCTCCTCGACAGCAGATGCCGCGGCCCGACGGCGGGCAAACGAAAACGGAAAACAGCATATCACGTCCAGGCCTGCAAGCTGGAAACAAGCTATGATGCTTATTAGGCGTTGATTGGTTGATTATCTGTTGTAAGGGTCGATTAGAAAAAAAAATACATTAATAAAATCTTGTAACAGAAACAGAAAAAAAAGCTGTTTTAATCAGGAATCAAATTTATGAAAGGCTAGTTTACATTTGAGTTCAAATTAAAAATAACTACAAATATTAATTATTCAAGCAATTTAAATTTGCATAATTTTACCACAAATAATTGCTCTGAAAAAATATTTTACATTTTCTTATTTTAGTTCTTTTTATGAGGCTCTGAATTAATGATGTCAAATAAAAAAAATCTAGCTATGAAGTGCTAATGGCTCTTATTCTGTAAGTTTGTAATAACATTAATAATAAAAATAATAATAAATATTTTAACAGTAGCGGGCCATGTGTTGCCAGGAGTGTGTCAGATTTCACTTAATACTGAGGCTCTGTGTTGGTAATTACATCAGGCTAACGCACCCCGTCGTCTTCCCCACCCTCCCGCCTGCCCGCCTCTGATTGGTCGCGGGGAGGCCGCCGGGACAGAAACGGCGTTGTCCCGGTGACCCGGCCTCTGCTCGCCCCAGCCCCGCTATAAAAGCCCGTGGCCGCTCGCATGCGCGCCTGATGGGCTGTCAGATGCGATTTGGAGTAACAGGTGGATCTGACTGCGGATTCTCACCGTCATTGCGCTTGGATAAACCTGGTAGGTGTTTTATTTCATTGTATGCGTAAACATGCTGAGTGTTATTGTTATTATTATGTAGAGGAAGCAGTATTGATTTATTTCATGCGTACGCCCGGTGGAGTGGCATGTAAAGACATAAACAGAGGCCTACACAACACGGATTGTTGATTTAAATATTTCAGGATTTCTTTTTTTAATTTAGGGCTATTTATGTTATTCATTATATATATATATATATTTATATAGAAATAGAATGTGTAACAAACACTCTCCGTTTTGGAGTCCAGTTACTGAAAAGTTTCTCTCTTCTCAGAGCATCGTGCGGGACCTGGACCATGGACTCAGACACAAGCCGAGTGTCAAGCAGACCGTCCTCCCCGGAGGTGGACGACATCTTCATGTCCACCCTGAAGAAGTCCGTGCACGGCTTCTCGGGCGCCGTGTCCTCCACGCAGAGCGACTCCCCGTCGGAGATCCCCGGTCTGCGCGGCCTCTCCGCCGCCGACGAGGAGGCGCTGGCGCTGCGCATGGCGTCCAAGAAGGACCGCAAGCTGCTGTCGGAGAACGAGCTCCAGGCCATCCGCTTGAAGATCAACAGCCGTGAGAGGAAACGGATGCACGACCTGAACGTGGCCATGGACGGGCTGCGGGAGGTTATGCCCTACGCGCACGGACCGTCGGTGCGCAAGCTCTCCAAAATCGCCACCCTGCTCTTGGCGAGAAACTACATCCTGATGCTGAGCAACTCCCTGGAAGAGATGAAGCGGCTGGTTAGTGAGATCTACGGCAGCAGCGGGCACCACGGCGGCTTCCACCCGTCGACTTGTGGGACTATGACTCACGCGGGGCCCGTGCCGGGACACCCGGCGGCTTCCCACGCTTCGCACCCGGCGGTGCACCACCCGCTCCTCCCCCCGCCCGCCGCCTCCACCGCCTCCCTCTCCGCTCCCGGGATTTCCGCCGTCACGTCGGTCAGACCCCATCACGGACTCCTGAAAGCGCCCACCGCAGGCGCGGGGCCCCTGGGCAGCAGCTTCCAGCACTGGGGCGTCGGCACCGGGATGCCCTGTCCGTGCAGCATGTGCCAAGTCCCGCCTCCGCATGTGTCCAGCATGAGCTCCGTGACCATGCCGAGGCTGGCAAGCGACTCCAAGTGACTCTGAACTCAGCTGAACTTTTTTCCAAATGGGGTTGTACAGACTTTGCTCCCCCATCTACACACATTTTATTTATCTCTGTTGCTGAATCCTCTGCATTACTGAGACCTCGAACCAATGCATTGATTTCTTTCCTCCTCGGGTTTTGCAGATTTTGCAACTAACTTAGTGTTTTATTGTAATTAATCTCATATGTGACGGATAGTTATGCCCAGAGCTCCTACAGCAAAACAAAACCCCTAGGGCCCAGTTTTCTTTTTTTTTTTTTTTTTTTTTTTTTTTTAATTTTTTTCCCCCCAAAAAAAAAAAACCCAAAATTAAAAAAAAAAAGCCAAAAAAAAAAAAAAAAAAAAAAGGGGCCCTGGAGGTTTTTTTTTGCTGGGGGGGCTCTGTGCAAAACTCT